GGAGTTGAAGTCCACAAGTCTTAAAGTTGCCAACTTTGAAGACCTCTGATATAGAGGAAGCCTGCTTTGGTTAGAACTACTTGTGTTGGCTTTAACTTAATGGCTTCAGGGTCTGTTTCTTTTTTATCAGTGTTTGCTAAATGCTTAGCTGTGTAGAAACGCTGAGCACTCAGAAGCAAAGTGAAGCAGGACCTCAGAAGGCCTTCTGCTTTTCCACCCAAAAATGGCCAATTTGAGGCCAGCTTGCTTGGAAGAGTTTTCCTGGTGGGATCAGGTTTCTGGCCTTCTGCAGGCTGAAGCTGCGGTGCCAGGCTGTCCAACCAACCTGCCTGTCTGCTTTCCTGCTCTCCGTGGAATGTGTACAGAAGGGCTGGCTTGAGGCTGACATGGCCCTGCCCTAGACAGAAGCTCCGAGAGTGCATTGACCTGCTCCCGTTCATGGGCAATACTGCTGCTCTGGCATTTTACTAGCGACTCAGCAAATGCTGCGTTCTCTGCCCTGAGTAGCAGGGAGACATGGCGTGCGCAGAGGACACCACGGGCAACACGGGATGAACCATGGCGAGGAGTGAATCGACGGGGGTACAGTACTTCTTTGCTTCTAGCAGGGAGTTGTGGCGAATAAGCATTGTAGATTTATGTAACGTAAGCTTCAAGTGCGCTAAAAGGGACGCCGTACCCGATCCATTGATTAAGGGAGTTCCGCTCAGCAGCCGTTTGGAAGGATGTCCTGGAGAAGTCCTTGATAGGGTGCAGCACACATTGGAGTAGCTACCGGAGATTTATGATGATTCTGTGTGTTGGGGGAGTTGTTGGATCAATTATAGATGACAATCAATTATATTACCCGGGGATTTGTTGAGATTAATAATTGAGATCAGAAGTGTTTAGGGAGCAATATTTTAAAAGGTAAAGAATATTATGTGATGATTCACCTAAACACAAAATTTATCTGGCTGTTGAATTTTTTTCCCCCCATCTAAAAAATGACAAAGCATTTAGGAGTGAAAGAGGGAGAAAGTATTTCCAGAGCTTGCTGTTACAAATAGATCTTTCTCTGTAAAACCTAATTTTATCCCCCTGCTCATTATCTATGCTTTTTCCTCCTGTGTGCTAACTGGAATGCAGTTCCTTAAAACACCAAGGAAGCAAGTGGCTCGTTTACCGTGTACCATTCTGGAATGCTAAAATTAAGCTACTGTTTGGGTGATGACAGACATAAAGCATTGCTAAGTATCCTCAATCATGTTTTACTAGGCAGAAATAAAGAGGTTGCCGATTTAAATTAAAGTGGAAAATTCAGAAGGACTCTGGAGTAATATCCTATCACTTATCCCTTGCATACTATTGAAACTCCTCCTTAGCATGTAAAAAAGGGGGGGTTGCTTGACCTTTAACTATATTAGAGGCACAACTCCCCCCTATAAATTTTGTGGCTCTAGGAGCTCTTCAGCCTCTTCCCCCCAATTAAGCAACCATGCCAAATATCAGTGATTGGGTTTTCTGACATTATAAAGCTTTTATTATTTTTAAGTATTTGTTATTGGTGTGTGTGTGTGTGTGTGTTAGTGTCTGCGTACCTTCAAATCCATTTAGATTCTTGGCAAGTGTCTGGCAAGTCTTTGAAGGTTTCTTGATAGCATTTCTGGAAGTGGTTTATTTTGGCCTTCTTTTTTGGTGAAGAGAGACGGACAGGCCCAGAGTCTCCCAGCTGCTTCTGTCCCCAAGGTGGGACTGGAACTCCCAATCTCCCAGTTACTCATTTGGTGCCTCTTTTAAACCTTAAATCAGAGGCCCCCAAACTTGGCAACTTTAAGACTTGTCCACAAGTCTTAAAGTTGCCAAGTTTGGGGACCGCTACCTTAGATGATGCTTAAGCCATTCAAATAACTCTTGCAGGTGGAACAAATCTAGGCAATAGAGCTGTTATGTGGCATGGCAAAAGCACAGAACCTGGTATAACCTTGAAAATTTGCCCATAGGAGAACCACCTGGCACTATTACATCCATGTCATTGTTTGATAAATGAGCTGTTTGTATTGTGTAGTGTCCTACTTAAGTCTGGATTGACATACTTAAAAAGCTTTACCACTTGCCCCAAACTAGCAGAGTCAATGTTTGGTTGAGAGGACTTTGTCCCTAAGAGTTTTCAGGAGGGTCCAGGTGATAAGATGCATGTTGTCAAGTTGTGATATCCACCCTATCCCTTGTTTGTCTGTTGATGTTGATGCTGAGATGTTGTGACACAATGGGGCAGTGCTTCCATCACAACAGTAGGTTTTGTTGTTTCAGTGTCACTGCGGCTAGAAACAGCTTTTTGAGTCAACTCACAGTAGGACTGCTCTAATACACTCCAAACTATCTCTGAATACCGCCTGGAAGCCATAGCTGGTCCAGAATGAGGTGGCATGGACAATGGTTGGCATGCCTTGTTACCCCCAAGTGACCCCACCACATTGCTTCCAATTTGTCTGGCAAGATTGTGTGCTCTGGATTGTTCAATCAAACAATGTCATTGTTTTAGGCTTCTCTGTCACATCACCTACCCTACAAACAAGACCACCCCTAGAGATCTGTGCAGTGGTGGGATTCAAATAATTTAACAACCGGTTCTCTGCCCTAATGACCAGCTGGGTAGGCGTGTCTTGGTGGTCATGTGACTGCATGGGCGTAGTCATCTCAATGTCACTCATGTCGATGGGCGCTTCGCCTTAGCTGTTACAATGTAATAAGGGTTAACCGGAGAGGCAGTTTTTGTAAGCAGGGCAATAAATATTAGACTAGAAACAACACCAGAATGTTTCCTTCCTGCCTTCCTTACAGGATTAGCCCTGTGAAGTGGGAAAAAACAAAAGGAGATTTCTTCCAACAACCGGTTCTCTGAACTGCTTAGAAAGTTAACAACCGATTATCCCGAATAGGTGAGAACTGGCTGAATCCCACCACTGGATCTGTGCCACTTTTACGTTCCAGATGTCTCCAAAAACCTTGATGTTGTTGGCTCTGTTTTCTGTTCAAGGGCTAGGTTAAGATGCAAAGGGTTTTCTTTCAGTTAGTTCCTCTTTACTGTTTCTTATTTTTAATTTTAAATCACTCAGAGTCATGTTGAGATCAGACAATCCAAATTAAACAAACAAACAAATAAACAGCAGTTTCTAAATTTAATGTGTCTATTGGTTTTCTTCAAATAGCTTTATTGTACTTCTTGAATGGAGAAATTCTGCAGGTGATTAACTTTTTCCTTTTTGTGTGTAGAAGCACCCATTTTATTCTGTAGTAGGAGTTTCCTCCTTCTTTGCGAGAAGAAAGTATCATAAGGGTACAGAGATTTCTTCCCATCAAGTGTTGATGGTCTAGGAACAAATTCATTCCTCCAAAATAAAGTGATTGCTCCTGTTCAGTGGAACAGCTTGCCTTCAGAAGTTGTGAATGCCCCAACACTGGAAGTCTTTAAGAAGATGTTGGATAGCCATTTGTCTGAAATGGTATAGGGTTTCCTGCCCAGGCAGGGGGTTGGACTAGAAGACCTCCAAGGTCCCTTCCAACTCTGCTATTGAATTGTATTGTTCCACAGGGAAGTCAAAATGAGCTCCATGCTAGGACAGGAGCCAGAATGTGTCCTGGTTGAGAACAATGAGATTGTGCTAGAGATTTCCCTGCACAACAATGTTAAAATGGGCCAGAGAGCTAAACAGTAGCCAAGCAATTTTTTGTAAACCCAGTACAATGGCAGTCATGCTGAATGTTGAAATTAACACAAAAATTACTGCTATCATATACGGAATAGTATTTTGTTCCATTAATTAAAAGAAAAGTATAAGATTTTTATGTGTTATGGTGAGGGTCAAAAATATTTATTTGCGCTCGAGAGATTGGCTGATCATGAGATCCGCAATAGTAAAGTCCTTTTGTTTGGATGAGATTCCCTGCATCATGGTTTTCAAATAGTTCTCTCCTGATGTATTTAGTTTGCATGGAGCAAGCTGTGGTCAAAATTGTACAGGTAGTCCTTGACTTACAAACGTTCATTTAGTGACAGTTCGAAGTTACAACACCACTGAAAAAAGTGACTGTTTTTCACACTTATAACCATTATAGCATTCCCCCTCTCCAGGGTCCTGTGATCAAAATTCAGATTGTTGGCCAGCGACTCATGTTTATGACAGTTGCAGTGTCCAGGGGTCATGCGATTCCATTTTGTGACCTTCTGACAAGCAAATCAGTGGGGAAGCCAGATTCTCTTAACAAGTGTGCGATGAAGTTAACAAGTGCAATGACTAACTTAACAATGGTGGCGAGAAAGGTCATAACATGGGGCAAAACTAATTTAACAGATGTCTCACTTAGCAACAGAAATGTTGGGCTTAACTGTGGTCATAAATCGAGGACTACCTGCATTTGCCAGAAAAGGAATGAACCAAGCCAACAAGTCATCTTCTGCAATATTTAGAAAAACCCTCGGCAGATGTTGGTTGTCTTGAGACACAGAAACCTTAAAATGAATGGTGCAATTTAGGAGAAAGATGGGTGGTTTGGCCAGGAGAATTTATTTTCTGGACTTGCCAAGCTGTCATTGTTGTAGGACCAGGAGCAAGTCCTTTACTTTCTTCTGTCAGAGAATAGTGGCTACCATACCATTGTACTGTTCAGCCTCCAAGGCCAATCAAGGCGCTACCTAAACTCTTTTTTCAGACAAGCTACAGAATTCCTTTCCTGTATCACTGAAGGCGAATCTCACTGATATCTACATGGACGTTAATATTTTGTATTGCGAGTATGATAAAGCAGCTTATACACAACAGGGAGTAATAAAATATAAGTAATAAAATATTTAACAAAGAGGTACCTCGTTATATCTAGTTATGCTCAACACTGATTCCAAATGTAGGTATTGGATCTGAGTGTGATGGCCACTTATATAAATGTTCCACATCACAAAATCTAGATTGCAGCTCATGCTTGGTTTTCAAACTCTTTATTTTCTCTTCTTTCTCTTTCAGACTGACACCAATGCAAGCTACCTACGAGCAGCCCGAGCAGGCAACTTGGAAAAAGCTCTTGACTACTTAAAGAATGGAGTGGACATCAACATCTGTAATCAGGTTGGAGCAATATTTCATCCGCACATATTTTCTTTTTATCACTAGTCTGTGTTTGTGTCTGCGTCTTGAGAGTGCCTTTCCAGAACAGGCTCTTCCAGGATACGCTAGATGTTCTTCTACCAAGGCTGGCTGGAGAGTATGGGAATTGAAATCCAGCTCACTTAGAGGGCTTCAGCTTTGCTTAAGCAGTCAAAACAGCATATTTCATGTCCACTGGGTGTTGTTGTTGTTGTTGTTGTTGTTGTTATTGTTAGTAGCAGCAGCAACAAAATAATAATAATAATAATAATAATAATAATAATAATAATAATAATAATAATAATAATAATAATAATAATAATAATAATTGCAGTGTTTTCAACAATTGAACCGGGATCCATCTTGGAAACAAACCAGTTAATGTACAGCGCAGCTGTAAAAGTCACTAATGAACTAGGCATTAAAATTAAAGTACCTAGTCATACAACAGAAAAAGCATCAAAGCCAAAGTGGAAAATCCGTTTAGAACAAAAAATAAAAAAAAAAAAAAAAAAAA